TTTGATTATGTGTTGGTTGGAAAGTTTTTGCTTTGTCAGTCAGTGCTTGACGTGATTAGCAAATTTTCTTTCAACCTCAAACTTTCAGGTGAGTTTTCTGTCACTCTATTGAATCAAAACATTGTCTTGATCAAGCTTGCTAATGACCTTGATTATGGTATGGTTTTTGCTCATTGATCTTATTTTCTTTATGGGTGTTTTATTAAGTTGATTAAATGAACCCCTTTTCTAGACTTTTCAGAATAATTCCCTATCATCCATATAAGGCTTTATTTCCCTGAACTTTTGCCCCATCTCTTATCCCCACACATTCTCTTTGGCTTGGGTTTTATATTTGGTTGGCCTATTCTCACGGATATTGTCACTACTATGTGTTCTCTCCCTTATATGGCACAATTTCTTATGGAAAAGGACATTTCTAAAATACACCTTGATTTGGTTTGGCTTGATCTTGAAAGTTTGGGTTATGTTCAAAAGGACGTTGTGGAAGGTATGCTTAGTTTTTGCTCACACTGCAAAGAGGTAGATCATAAAATTCTGATTGTGCTAAATTGCATCCTCAGTTGAGGAAGGTTAATGTCTCTGTCCAGCTGAATGTTGGTTCTGCCTCAATTCCTGTTGTGGCAGTTATTTAGCGAAAAATGAATAATGTGGGTGAGAATGGGGAAATTGGAAATGTAAGAGATTTAAACTTGCAAGGCCTTGTGGATAATTTTGGAACTAGGCTTGATATCTCGGTTTTGTTGGTTCTGCCTGGTTTATAGGGTTTTTGCATTAGTTGTGGCATTGATTTGGCTGCCGTGGTTAGTTCGCGTGTGAATATTAATGCCTCTTCTACAATTATTGTTACTAATGTTAATCATGAAGGTTGTGAGGGCATGGTTAATGATGTTGATAATTGTTTGTCATTATTTCATGAAGCTAATCTTCAACTTGATGCCTCTCCTATCTCTTTTATATTAGCTTCTAAGGGTATTCATGTGGATCTTGGTAATGTGAGGATGTGTGAAATTACTAGGAGTCATTTTTTTTATTCTCCTTGTGATTTGGTGTCTAGTTCTGGTGATTCTGCTTTGGCTGAACCGGTTGTGCTGCCTATTAAGGTTAATGTTGCTAACATGCATGTTCTTGATGCACCTATATATCTTATTTCAAAAGTTTCTTTGTTTGCACAATTGGACTTAAATGCGAAGGGTGCTGGTGTTGATCGTTTTGATATGTTAGAGGGGTCTATTTCCTCATTGTGTGGCGGTGACAGAGATGAGTTGGATGATCTTATTGATGGGATGTATAGTTTGGATGTCGGATGTCTTGTTCATAAAGTTTTTTCTCATGGTGGAGGAAAGTGACATGGGAGAAAGTCTAGGAAATAGTATTTTTGTTTTGGTTTTGGATTCTTCTTTTCATGTTGTTGGTTCTTCTCTGGCATTGCTTGGTCTGGGTTGTGGGTGGTTCTTTGTGTTGTATGATGTTGCTAGTCCTTTGTCTATGTTGGGGCTATTTTTGGTGGTTTTGGGGCTTACTTGTGGTCCCGTGGGGCTAGTTTTGGTGTTTTGAGACTGGTTTTATTGGTTGTTGGGTTGTTTTCTGCTTTCCTCTTATAGGTATTCTGCTTGTGGTGCTACTGACAACACATTGTTGCTAGATCATTTGATTTCCTGCTCAGCCAGCAGTTCTTTTGATTGCTAGGTGTTATTACCTATTATCGTGTGCTTGTTTTTAATGTTTTGCTTTTTTTTCGTTTTACCTTTGTTGTAATAGATATAATCACCGGTTCGTAGGTGTTAATTCAAATGCTGTATTTTTAGAGAGAGGAAGGTTATTTAAGGACTTGTAATTTTCCCTTTTTATTAATGTGTAGGCCCCTGTAGGTTTTAACAAAAAAAAATGTATAAACACCAATACACAAAGCATTTGAAAATTCTAAAAACTCAGACTAATAAATGGTTAGTCAAAGGAACTCAATGATTGGCTCAAATCATCCCAAGGATTATATGATTTATCAAGATTGGAAAGAATAGTTAATGCAAAATGAGCTCCAACAATTCTATCTTTTTTTTAAGTGGAAATATAAATATGTTAGCAACATATCATACTTTTTTTGACAAAATAATATTTTAAACAAATAAAAAAATATTAGATATAAGCTAACCACCTCTAATTAATATAATTAAGCATGATGGACTTGTAAATAATAACCTTGATAATATATAAACTCATATGAATTTTATAATAATATCAAAAATAAATTCAATGATGAATTTATCGTATGATTACTAGTTACTATAATTTAAATAATTAATAAATAATAATAAATTAGATAAATAGAAAATAAATATAAAGTAATTTTTCTTATGCATCAAATAGACATTTTTCTAAAATTTCTCCTACGTTTCTCCATTTTTTTTCATGACATACATTGAGCAACCTAAAAATGATTGGAGGAAGTTATACATAAGTTTAGAAATATATAATCAAGTAAAAGTATAATATAATTCATAATTATAATCTATTATTAAGAAATATGACTTACATGAAGAAGAGCATCTAATAATTGAAAAAAACTTCTCTTCTCATTTTGTCTCAACAACAAAAATCTTCTAAATAATGATATTTTTAGGTAGATTGATGCTTTATTTGGAATAACTTTTGGTCATTATTTTTTACTGCTCTCAAATAATTTTGTACTAAAAAATTATTTTAGAAATCATAAAGAAAACTTTCCCAAACAAAGTTTGATTCTCTCTCTTCAAAGTGCTTAATTTCTAAGAGGGAAATTGTTCTAAGAATTATAATGAACTTGGGCATCATTTGGGACGACTTTCTTATTGCTTCTTAAAATAATTTTTTAGCATTAAAATTAAAGTTTTATACTAAAATTTTATTTTAAGAAGCATCAAGAAAGCAGCCCGAAATGAAGCCTTGGTGGGATGATTTAAGATTGAAATAAAATGGTGTTGCCACTACCAAAAAATAAGGTAATCGCAGCACAAATTTTGAGCTATCGTGGTGGTTTTAACCGCCACAATTTTCTTTGCTGCGGTTCTAAAACCGCTACAAATACGCTGTATTTACTATGCGCTACAATGACATTACGCATTGGTTTCACGATCGGTGGGGTAGTAAATCCGAATCGCTAGCTATTGCAGCGGTTATAACCGGTACAAGTAACCAGAATTGTGCCGGTTAAAACCGATGCAAATGCTTACAACCTGAACATGTTTTTCTATTTGTGGCGGTTTAAACAGTTACAATTCTGGTACCTTGTACCGGTTAAAACCTCCACAAATAAATCAATTTTTTTTTTAAATTTTGAACTTCAATGTCTACACAGTTCTGTAGCACAAAATCTAATTTCACAAATCTTTCTGCAATCATCAGCATCATAAGTAGCATTTAGCCTTCATAATCATGAGTAGGGTGGGAAAAAATTACTACACATAATAATAATAGTAAATCAAAATCTAATACATTTTTTCATTCACAATATTGCAAATTGAAATCTAAAATTTATTGAGTGAAAATTATATGCATTTCCTTCAGCCTTGTGATGCACATTTTTCTTGAAGAACTTCAGCATAACTAGAGCCTTAAATATAATTAGAAGCAAATTAATTAATTAATTAATAATGCCACGGTGACAATAAATTTCCAAATGATTGCTAATATGTTGTTTAGCATTTTTTGAAATGAATGGATTAGCTCCTATAGAAACTTCCTCAATCTAGAATTTGTGTAAAGACCATGTCATGTCTATTACATCATAGAGATCTACAAATACCCTAATCTAAAGATAATAAAAGTAGCTCATTAAGGGGTTAATCGGTTTGGTGTATTTGAAATGCCTGTAAACTAAATATGGTAATTTAATTGCATTTACTTTGAAGCATTTTTAAGGAAATAGCCTATAAATAAACTTTACCTCATGAAACTCGAATCAAACACAAAAGGCTACTTCTCAAATTTTCAGCTAGTCAAACAGCCAACAAGTAAACCAAGAACTCAAGCATAGCTTTTCTGCTATGGCATCATTCATATGCATATCCCAAACCAACAGATACATAATAAGCTCATTGTGATAAAAACAAACGCATGAAAATGCACCAAGAACCTGACACTTATACTGAAACCTATGAGGAAGGAAAAAAATTAAAGAAGTGTACCCGACAAGTTGCTTGAAGAAGTCAATTCATTGCAATACCTTCCATATTCTTTGTCCTTCACTTCCATCAAGTTCTTAATAAGTATTCCGCTCCAAAAACAAACAGACCCCCTCCTACTTTGTAAATATTTTGAGAATAATATATAACAGAATCATAAAATAGCAATATGGTAAAATCATTAAAGACAACATAGAGCAACAACACCAAACAGCCCCTAAGAGCAAACCGAATTTAGTAAAAGCAAATATTCATCATTCATATATGGTAAAATTAGATAATCCCAAAAAGAGTAGAATATTCATCAGTCATATATGGTAATCTACAATATCATAATTTTAAGCAACATCCCAAAATAGTGGACTTCCATACCAAGATGCATTTCAAAACAATTTGCACAAACATGGGTTATCTTCAAAATGACATTCTCTTTCTTCTATAATATCATCTTTCGAAAGAAGTTTAATTGACACCCTATAAATTATAAGAAGAATGTATAATATTAGTATTTAAATAAACAACATTAAAATTAGAATGTGAAATTTTACATACCATTTGTGAGCTTCCTTGAGGTGGATGCTGCATTCGAATTTCTTGCATGAATTGCCTCATTTCAGTACGTAATGAGTTGACCTCCTCTTTGAGATTTACTATTTGAATTAAATTGCTTCCAGAACTACTCGTGCCATGATTTCTGCTATAAGGGAAATATCGTGTAGGTGTGACACCAAAACCTTGGGTTCTAACTCTGCCTGGGTGTTCAGGTCCCATTACCATGCTGAACACCCTTTCATTAGCCTCCGCATTCCCATCCTCTGGTGTAAGTCCATCCTTAGCTATGAGTTCGCAAGCTTGTACCTATGTTATAATAAATTTAGTTAATTTTTGTTTTAAATAATAAAAAAATAATGATGAATTACATATAAAAAAATTATAGCTAAACTAAAATTACCCATCTCTGATTAGCATCTTCAGATGACCAGGTGCCATCTTTACGCAATCTATTAACTCTCCATAATAATAATCTATCTTTGATAGCCTATATCAAGAAATTTCATCATTAGAAAATTAGTTAATAAATGTGAACATAAAATTTATATAAATTTAAATATATACCATCTCTTGTTGCCTTCGAATAGAACTCACACGCCCCATAGTGTGAGGACAAGTCTATTTCTTTGCATTTGCAGCATTTATGGCGGCCCTCTCGAACAGAACTCACACAGCCCATAAAATTTAAAAGTTTTTTTTGGTGCGTCAAAAAATGGTGCTATCTACATCGGTTAAAATCGGTGTTAATTGCACCGGTTAAAACCGGTATAATTAGCAGTGGCTAAAACCGATGCTAAAAGTTGGTTTTGGTAGCGGTTTTAAAACCGCTCCTAACATCTGCTGCGAAAAATCTAAATTTTTAGTAGTGTGCTAGATGTATGTCCACTTTAATAAGACTATAATTTTGTGAGATTTTTTACTATAATTATAATATATTATATCATTGTAATATCATATCATCCTTTTCTTACTTATATAATATTTTCATTTACAAATAGTATTTATTAGTGTATTCAAAGAGAGCCAAAAAATAAAATTTAAAAAATAAAAAATAAAAGTGTATACTCCAAGTAGAGATGATTAGTTATAATGTAATGTAAAATAAATTTAAAGGTGGTCATGAAAAAGGATGTCCAACCCATGCTGTTTAGGTTAAAGCTTCATTCGGGATAACTTTCTTACTATTTTCAGAAGTTATTTTTTAGTATAAAAATTTCTAGTTTTAAAAAAAAATTGTACTAAAAAATTGCTTTAGAAAGTAGTAAGAATATTGTCCAAAATGAAACCTTAAATTCATGCCTTCAGAAGATTCACGGATGCTCAAAAGACAATTCAAGGTGTTTCTTGATTTTCTTTTATGTTGGATGTTTGTAAATTGTCATAGGAGAAAATAAACAATGAAATCTACATGTGATATTGAAATACAAATTGAGAAGTTTTATTCTTTTGGACTTAAGGACTTGGTGACTTGGTTCGTTTGCAATAGTTTGGCAACCATGTCTCTGATGCGGATCTGTTTTCATGGTTTATGATTTTGATGATAACAAACACTCTTATTTCTCTACGACGGCCTTATTTACTAACATTTCAGGTCCACATGATCAGACTGCAATTTAGAACCAGCTCAAGATTGGGTAGACTAGGTCTGAGTCAGTTTGTACACTTTTTCCTTTCTTGAGTCTATTGTATTTGGTGTGGCTCCTGATGTTTTATAACTTGGAAGATTTTTTGTTGCTCCTTAAAAATTTCTATTTTTGGTAACATCGTCCAGGACGATCTGTCCAAAAGCAGAAACCCTAATTAGGGCATCCTCATTAAAGTAGTGTCATTATACAAAATACATCGTCCTGGATGATTTTGTATCGGCCAGGATGATAGGCTCAATTCAGAAAGAACACGTCGCCAGATCTAATTAGAAATAATCTATTTTTGGACATCGTCCAGGTGGATCGTCCAGACTATAAAATATCGTCCAGGACGATCCAGGTCAATTTTTCCAAAATTTCTCTGGAATTTAAGGAAAGCAATTATGACTTGATTTCACGATCAAATCGGCCTGGACGATCGCAAAATCGTCCTGGCCGATGTGCTGGATGATTGGACACCGGATAACTATTTTTCAGGTCAATGTTCAGGACGATATTCCATGATTTATTCTGATCGTCCAGGATAATATGAACAAACTTCTTCTGATCATCTCAAATCGTTCCGGCTGATTGGACTTAAATTATACTGATCGTACAGGACGATATGCCTATCATCCAGGATGATAATGTCGGCAACTTGCATTAATGAGCTCATTTTGAGAGCTTCTATTTAAGCTATGACAAGGAACTTTGTAAGTATCTTTGGCATCCATTGTAGCTTCGTTCTTGTGGGGGAAACTTGAAGAGAAAGCTTAAAAGGGAGTGAGGAACATGTGAAGTCTGAGAGAGGGAGAAGATCCTGTGAGGGGGGACTCAAGGGAGTGTGGAGGGGGATTCCACACGGTTGCTCCAGCAGGCTTGCATCTTAATACCGTCTGATTTAAGGCTTGTCTCGAGGGAAGTTCACCAAATAAGAAGATCTCTTTGGTGTCAAAGGACCCGACGACTCCGCCGCACCGAGGAAGGTGGAAGTGATTTTGTAAGGGCTTCTCCGCCTAGCTGTGGGGGCTAAAGGAGAGACACTTGTTTTAGTGCAATACTTGGAGGGTGCCTCTAAGGAGTGGACGTAGGTCAAGGTTTGACAGAACCACTATGAATATGGTGCGTTCTTTCTTATTATTTGCTTCCGCATTTGATTTCCATATTTATTTTATTTGTGGTGATTTTGGTTTGTACTTTGCTTAAAGTTTCTTCTTTACCAATTCACCACTCTCTTTATTTAGCCTTGGGCCAGTTCTATAGGGCTTAACATCCCTAACAAACTGTCAATTGGTATTAGAGCAGGATTCATAAAATAAGTTTTTAAAAGCTTTTGAATTTTCGATCCATGCTAATTATAATGTTGTGGAAGGTTATTAAAGCACCAGATCTCCTTTATTTTAAAATATGTCATTTGATTTTTGGAAAACTCGTATGTCTATTTTCTTGCAATCGATTGATTTTCGCATGTGGCATATGATTTTAACTGGTTATTCATCACCGTCACGTATTATTAATGGAGTTAAAACTGATATTCCTTTCAATCAATGGAAAAAGAAAGAATAACTGAATGCTCAACTGAATGCAAAATCTTTATATTACTTTTTATGTGCTTTAAATTCTGAAGATTTCATGTTAGTATCCACTTGCACTACTGGTAAGAAAGTTTGGGATAAACTACATACCATATACGAAGGCACGAATGAAATCAAGCAATCCAAGTTGATTTTGTTAATGCATGATTTTGAATTATTTTTCATGAAACCTTATGAAACGATCTTAGACATGTATACTAGATTCATTCAAATTGTAAACTCTTTGAATGCTTTAGGAAAAGAATTTTTAAATTTTGAAAAAGTTAACAAAATTCTTCGTTGTCTATTGGATAAGTTTAATGCCAAAGTAGTTGCTATTTGTGAATCAAAAGATTTGAATGATTATTCTATTGATAATTTGATTGGCTCACTCATTGCCTACGAGCAAGGTTTGGGTCAAAGACTTTTGGATGCAGGTGAAATGACTGTTCTAAAAATTAAAGATACAGAAAGAGATAGCTTAGTTGGTGATGAATGCAATAACTTGACAAGCAAATCACAAAGCTCACCAAAGCATAAGCAAAAGTGGAAAAGAGGTAAAAGTGGTAAGGATGTCCATATTTCTTCTGACGTTATTTGCTTTCGATGCAGGAAGCCTGGACATATGAAAAATCAGTGCTCTAATTTAAGAATTCTTCCTACGAAAGAAAAGGGCAAGGCGAAGAAAAATTTAAAATGGGGAAATAATGAAAGGCAAAAAATTGCATGGGCAGATCTGGTTTCTGAAGCATCAGACTAGGAGAGAGATAATGGTTAAAAGCCTTTCATGTTTTTATGTTTTTCATTTTTTGTTTTGGTTTTGTTTATTCTTTGAAATTTTTGTTTTTGTGAAAGTTTTTTTCTGATCAACACACGCATTCACTTTTCTAAAAATGAAAAATCTACTTCCTGTTTTTTTCTTGAAATCTTTAGTAAGTTGTGTTTGACTTCTCTAAAAAAAGTCAAAGGAAGGAAACTCATGTTATTGACTCTCAATCTCTATTTCCTAAAAAAGGTTATTTTACTTTTGATTTAAAATATTTTTTATCTTTTAAATTAGTCTTTGAAACTAAATTTTTATCTCCCTACATTTTATTTATCGCATTGGGATCTTTTACAAGTTGTTGAAGCTAACTCAGAATTTTCTTAATAAAAAATTCGCTTTATCAATAGGATGGATTTACTTTTGTTTTTAAGACTTCAGAAAGGTAGCATATAAAAAAAAATAGCCAATGATGCCAAAAATAAAAGATGCGCAATGACGCCAAATTAAAAAATATACACAAAAGTGTATCAAAAATCAGAAGATGCGCAGTGCGCCAACCAATTGTCAAGAGGCATAAAATGAGCCCACAAGATTTAATGCTTACCATTCTTGTACTTCTTAAAAGCTTAAGAAAATCCTTGATACTTTCGATACTTGAGTTTGAAAATTTTGATTCTTGATTCAACAATTTGTGCATTAATCTTCTATTAAATATATTTTAAGAAAGGAGTTTTGAAAAATAACTGTTTCTTTCCCTAATTTATTCTTTGAATTAGATATTGAATTAAAAAGTTTTTGAGCCTTTTAAAAGAACTTGAGTTTAATGATCAAATTCTGGATTTCTAACCTTTCTGGGCTATGCGTTGTCAATCCAATTCTACTAAGTTTTTTGATTTAAACTAAGAGGTAACTTTCTCATTTTAAGAATTTTTTTTGTTTTTTTTTCACTAGATCAGGGAACGTTTTTGTCTTTTTTTTTTCATTTTGTTTTTTTATTTGTGCCTCCTCTCTTTTTGATAATGTCAAAGAGGGAGAACGTACTGTTGAATTTGTATCTATTTTTTCTTTTCAAAAATTTTAAAATAACAAAAATATTTTTATCTCCCCTATTTTTTAAAGTGTTATTCTAGTGAGGGGAGATTAGGAGAAAATATTCCTTTTTGCATATTCAAATTGAATTATTTGTCATCATAAAAAAGGGGGAGATTGTTGGGAATCTGTTTTCATGGTTTATGATTTTGATGATAACAAACACTCTTATTTCTCTACGACGGTATTATTTACTAACATTTTAGGTCCACACGATCAGACTGCAATTTGGAACCATCTCAAGATTGGGTAGACTAGGTCTGAGTCATTTGTACACTTTTTCCTTTCTTGAGTCTATTGTATTTGGTGTGGCTCCTGATGTTTTATAACTTGGAAGATTTTTTATTGCTCCCTAAAGATTTTTATTTTTGGTAACATCGTTCGGGACGATATTTATATCGTCCAGGATGATTTGTCAAAAAGTAGAAACCCTAATTAGGGCATCCTCATTAAAGTAGTCATCATTATGCAAAACACATCATCTTGGATGATTTTGTATCGGCCATGACGATAGGCTCAATTCAGAAAGAATCTGCCACCATATCTAATTAGAAATAACCTATTTTTGGACATCGTCTAGGTGGATCAT